TTCTATTCTGGGTCTGTTAAGTTAAAACATTTCAGCTCATTTTGTAGATTGACAGCAGTTTTCCTAAGCAATTTGATATTTTAAGCATGGCATGGCAGCAAAAAAACCCTGTCACACAGATACTCTGTTTTTCATTTTCATGCATAATTCATTAACACATAATGATCTTTATTTTCATTCTTTAATTTGACTGTTTCTCCCATCTTCCATGTTTGAAAGGTGACATGCATTAGAACTAGGAAAATAATTTGATTATACTAAAAAATAATCATAATTGTAAACTAATTACATTCATGGATTCATATCCTGTGTCTTTGTGTTGTTTAAAAGAGTGGTTGGTTATTTTAGTTATTGGTGTTCCGATTGTCAATGAAAAGTTACATGTATGAAGAAAATTCCCTGGTAAAATGGAAGATTTCTTTAGAGCACTGAGCATCCTCTAATTTGATTTTTATCTGGGTAGGTGATACAAAAGGACTCCAGATCTCTAGAACACATCTGGTTGTGTTCTAAAGTATGTTCCAAGAACATTTTCTGGGTTTGATTAAATTGGTAGATGAGATAATGTCCTCTCTATTCTAGATGTCAAAGTTAGAGAACCAGTTTTGACCATTGAGTTCACAGTAGATATGTGTTGCTCCTCCAGAAGTATTGGATTCTTTCCACTGCCTAGTCACACAGAATAGTTGGCTTCATCTCCTGAACTCATTCTGTTTGTTTGGACTGTGACAGTCTAAAAACTACACCTGTTAGCTTTGAATTGCTAGTCTTTCTAGTAGATACTGGTTTTATCTTCTGGCCCTGCCTTGGAGACTTGGGTTTTTTCCATTTTTTCTTACCATTTCCTTAACGTGCTGTACTGCTTTTGGGTAGGCAGCTCTAGTTCTCTCTTCTGTGGGAAATACTCTTAAAATGTTGTTCAAAAACCTCCCACCCTCAAAATGTTTGCAGTGTGCACACTCCACAGCAGTGATTCCATCCCCAAATGTTTGCAGTGTGCACACTCCACAGCAATGATTCCATCCCCAAATGTTTGCAGTGTGCACACTCCACAGCAGTGATTCCATCCCTGAATGTTTGCACACATTCCATAGCAGGGATAGCCCCTTACTGTTTGTTGTGCACCACAGGACTTCTTGCCAGTGAACTACCAAGGTTCTTATTTCTGTGCAGGACAGCAGATAGAGTAGCTTTGCTTCTTGACAGTATTAGGTTTTTGATGATTTTTATGAGACCAATTCGTGGGATCGATAATGCCCAGCTCAGTACATCCCAGCCTTCAAAAAGGAAAGACTCCTTTCCCTGTATGGAGGGATCAACTGTTTTGACTAACTCCCTGGGAATTGTAGCTCTGTTCACCAAGGCTCTAATCCATGAGGCTGTTTTACATAAGCTGTTGGTCTCCTCATACTACAGAGAGAGCTTTTGTCTGGGCTGGTGCTGGAGGATCATTGGTGTGTTTCAGATCCTCTGAGGTGCAGGCTCGGCTGTTTATTTTTCATCTGCCAGGCTAGTTGCTACATGGGCTGACCATCCTTAAAGTTGCCTTAAAAGCAGAATCCAGTTCTTCATAGGTGGAAGCCTAACTTTTCAAATAAGTAAGCAAAATCAGATGAGCTTTCATTTTACTAGCAAATGCTCCAAATGAAGCAAACCCTAGCCTTCAGCTCTTAAAGCCTCTTGGAAAACCAAGTTGCACTTACTGGAGTTTGTTCTGCGTTTTAGCTAGTCTCTTTATAACCTGTTAATATAATCTCCTTCACCTGTTGTTTTTGCTGTTCAGGTGCTGCTCTTAGCAATGATCTGACCACATCTGTCATTGTATTTAATCACATTCAGCTGGCATGTGACTGCTGAATGTGACAGTGACAAATACTGAGAACAGTATCAAGTAGAAGGGAGGCAGAGTATTTTTGTATTTTTCTGACCGTGAAAATATATGAATGCATCAGAGAAGAATAAAGATGCTCTTAGGGGATTGTGGGGGGCTGAAACTTCTAACAGCTGTTTGAGGTATTAAATGGGAATGTGACATTGAACTGCTCGGATGGGGATATGGTGAAAAGACAACTTGCTTTCACTGGACCTCAGTTTTTTGACAAGTTGTTTCTCTGGGAGATTGCTTGTTTCTCTGACAACCTTCCTTACTGTTCCTACTTAACAACTACAGTGGAAAGAATTATTTTAAATCCAATACTACCTTACTCATAAAAGTATGATGCACTTCAATGAAATGGTATTTGATTGAATATTTGATCAAAACAGAACTATTTCCCAAGCAAATTGCTTTTTCAATTGGGCTCAGAGCAACATCAGACAAAATGACAGTACCTACATCACTGGAGATGGAAATACCTTCTCCTTAGTTGCTAAGGCAGCTTCAGAGGATATGGCATTTCCCATACCATTTTGCTTGGAAACCATTTTATATCCACCCCCAGCAAACTTGTATGCAGGATTGCTGCAGTTACTTAAGAATTTCTTTACTAGCTGCTTTTAAAAGGAAAAAAGCTTATCTGGCTAATTACCTGTTGATTCATAAAGATACGGTGTCCTTGGGGATGTAATTAGACCTCTGGATTGCAGAGTATCAGTCCCTGTTTAGAAACAGTTGGGTTTATGCTTTGGTCAGTGGGCAGCTGACACTCTCCAGTGCAGATGGCTGATAGGTAGCAGCTTGTCATTTTTATTATCTGATTAGATATACAACAGCAAGGAACAAGCCTGTTAGATTGAATGATTGGAGAAATGTTAATATATTCCATATTTAATCACCATGCTTCCGCTTTTTTCATTTAGCTCTTTTTTGGTGAAGATTTGCATGGTACCTTTGCAGCTCAGTAGACTCGGGTTTACTGTGTCCACACTTCCAGCCCTGTGTGGGGAGTTGTCTCCTTGCTAATTGGGGTCTAATTTGCACAGCAGCATTCATACAGGTTTGCCCGAGTAAGAACTGAACAGCTTCTCCATGATACCCTTGATAACGCTTGAACTGCATGTAAAGGAAAAGTATTTGCCATTTTAGCTTGTATTGATACTTATTTGACAAAATATTGCTGGTTCTGTTTCTAATAGGAAAGAGAAACTCTTCAGAAACAGCTGGATGAGGCAAACAGAGAAGCACAAAAATATCGTCAGCAGCTTCTAAAGAAGGAACAAGAAGCAGAGGCCTATCGGCAGAAGTTAGAGGCAATGAACCGCCTCCAGACTAATAAAGAAGCTGTTTAATAAAAAATGAACCCACTGCAAAGCCTGTTACTTTCAAAAACCTGCAGTACAATCTTGAACTGTACGCTTTATAGGTACAGCCATGGGATTTCATGATAAGAGAAGATGCTACAAGTTGATAACTGGACTTAAGCCGTGAGCTCTGATTGATTTCTTGTAACATAAAAACTCTGAATTTAGAAATTGTGAAAAGTATTTAAAATGAAATACTGTAAATAGTTGGTTTTTTTACAGTTTCAAAATGAGTTGATAAATCTTTTTGAAGGGATCCAGAAACATGAAAAGCCAATGTTTTTGTGAAATTTTTGATTTTAGTATGAATCTAACTTCTGAAAAACAGAACAGTTTTAAGGGTGATGTTGATTTAAGCTGACAATTTGAAATTTGATTATGTGACAAAATTAATTAACAGTTATTTCTACATGATAACAGCTCAGCTTCTCTGAATAAGACATTTCCAGGTGGAAATCTTTGTACAGCTTTAAGTAGTTGTCTCAGATTCTCTGAAAACCATTTTTGGGTTTTTTTTTATTTTAGGTGGTGAAATTTTTATATTTAATTTCAGATATATCCAAGTAGATTTACATGTATATGAAGCTAATATTTTTTAAACTTTTCAGTTTGTACATATGCTGCATGTTTTTATAATTTCTACACATACATCTTGCATAGGTATTTTTCAGCAAAGATGAGAAAAATCATGAGAAAAATGTTTAGCCTATAGGTCATTTGAAGTAAGCTAGCAGCCAGTTTTACTGTGGATGGTATATTTCTTGGAAGAATGTAATTTGTAATTAAGAAGAACAAAAAAGTATCTTAATTTACATATTAAGAGGCAAAATTTGGTAGTGGAGGCATTGAAACTTCACTTTGTGTGTCTTATGATTTTCATGTACAAACATTTTAAAGTTCAGTAATGAATAGAAAAGAACGTCTCCACTGGAACACAAATACTAGCTATTTTAGAATATCCCTATTGGTCTCTCTTTTCCCCGATAGACTTGAAATTACTTCAGTGATACATTTTTTTAATGGACTTTTGCATTTTAATTATGCAATTGGACAAGTAATTTTTTTATGTTGTAGTGATGCTCCTCCTAGCCAGCATCATTGTTCCTCACTGTGATACTGTGTGTGTGTGTCTGTGCAGTGATCTATTATGCTTAAAATTTATATGGCACGTTACATCTTCAGAGCATTGCAAAATCTTTTAAAGAACCCTTACTGCTCTGCCTGAGGCAGGTAAGTGAGTGTTACTGTCTCAATTTTATAACTGGTTTAAGTGCAACATGAGGGATGTTAAATGACTGGCTTACACCACGTGAACCTGTGGTCACCTGGGAATGGATCTCAGGAGTTCCTGGCTTTAGTCCTGTGCTTAGACTGAGCTGCCTTAAGACTGTTCAGTGCTGTGTTACATTAAATTTTGAACTACTGTGCAGATCCGTTTTTTGTAAGATAAAACTCTGTGCTTTGCTTTGTTGTTCCATGTTCACTGCTTTTATGAAATTGTTTATATAAACTTAAGCAAAAAGTCTGGTTTATCTATACTGTACATGGAAGAATTACCCTTAAAACTGTACTCTGGCCTACTTTTTCTATTTTACAATTAAATATCTTTTCCACATATATATATTGTAGAATCGATTCAATTGGTTTGTGTGTGAATGAGAAGGTCAAAGCTATTCTGTGTTAGACATCTGGAAAAACATGAAAAAACAGTTTTGGGTATAAAATGGCCTTAAATGGTAGGAGGGAGGAATGGAGAAATAATTGCATTGTACTGTACAAAACTTCTCAAACAGATCAAAATTTGACTTGGGTTTATAGATTTGGCAGTTGGGAAAAATTCTAAATATCTTTGTATTGTTATATATTTGGTAAGTTTGATTTTGATTGGCAAATTCAAACTAAAAATAATCAAAAGATAAAAATGGGAAATCTGTGGTGGTGAAGAAGAATTATTTTCAAGGACATCATTAGGCTAGTACTAGGGTTTGAAGCAAACCCTGTGCAGTGGTTAACTGGAAATTGCTCTATTTTAGGGATTTTTTCAGGAACTCTCCATTTTGTTATTAGCAGATTGAGGAACCAGTTAGCCAAGGGAAATGTGTTGCTTAGGCATTGCTCCAATGAATTATTTTGTGATCAAAATAATGTTTGTGTCCTCACATCCCACAGATTTAGCAATGGTGTAATCTCTGTGATTTCTTAATAATGATAAGAGTGACACTGTTTGAGTGGTGATAGTGGCAACATCCAAGTGGAGAGTTTCCCACGGTTGTGACAGCAGATGTTGGCAGCACACAATGAAATGAACCTTTTCTATTAATTCTGTTTCCTGTGAGCAAATATTCTATTCCTCATTGTCCATAACAAAACCCTTCTGAGTGCAGTGTAGTTATAACAAACCCTTATTTATCACCAGCAATATTTACCCTACCTGTAATCCGTTATCAGCTATTTTATTTTAGTTTCAAACAGGACTTGCTGTTTGTTCTCTTCTGCACAGAACAGGAGATGAACTCAATGAAACTGTCACCTTTGAGCTGAAGTGTAGGGTATATCTTACATGAAATATTTATTACATAGTTTAACTCCGAAAACATTGTTAAAAATATTGTTCCTTATTTGCTGTTCCAAATTAAAAATATAAATGCAATTAGCTACCATCTGTTTCTTTCAACAGATGTCTATATATATTAGCATATTAATCACTTGTCATGAGCTAAAATCAGGGTTTTTGAGAACTTTGGGCTCGTTGTGAGTTGTGATTGATGCCTGTCACTTCTTATCCTGTTCCCCTCTATGGGATCATTTACAGTACAGCCAAGAGTTGTTCATAAATTCCTATTAAATACGTGGGCAGCTTGTTACTTTTTTCCTAATGTTTCCAGAGCAATATGAGATAAAACAGATGAACATGCATATAGTGGTTTTTTGCACTTCTCTCAATGCCTTTTTATCAATTTGGGGTTTTTTATTTCACTACATTAATCTTTTGATGTGTGTGGGTCAGAGCATCTTTCTCATATCTATAAAACAGTTCCTTCTCAAGTATCTATTTGCAGCAGGAAAAAGGAAAGGTTTCACACTGTTCTGTAGACATTGTGTGTGAGAACAATGTAAAAACTTTCTAGAATTATGTAAGAGGTTGTGCTGTATTAGAGTACCTGGGGCAGAGAATCAAAGCTGCTCTGGCAGCCAGTTCTGTCTAGTGGGAGAACAGCAAAACTGCTGGGAGGTATCAGACACAGCATCTGCCTAGCCTGGCATCTTGCCTCCAGCAGGGCCAGCCCGAAGTAGGAGCCTAGGGTATGGCAAAAATAGGCAAGAATGTGTTGCATGGGAGATAATTTCCCTTTCTGGTGCTTAGTCCACAAGTTCTGCCTCTCTCTTTTCCCAGGGCTGCCTGGTGCAGTGTAGAGCAAGTGAAGATGGATAAGGATTCCACATTGAGTAGTGTCAAAGGTTGTGCTGCCAGAGCGAGGTCAGGATGTGTTTTCAGGTCCTAAAACTGGAACAAGAGGCAATCTATAAGGCTGTTCTTTCAAAGCTGAGAACAATCCAGGTGGAGGACTTGGAGGGATTCTGGAGAGACAAGACTAAATCCCAGTGCTTATGCATATCATAAAGGAGAAAAGAAAGCACAGTGAGGGGAAAGGTGCCTCTCCCCAGCTCAGTGGTCTCAGGTGATATCCATGGAGGAACATCACCCTGCTTAGCGTAACCTGCTCTGATCTGAGGGGCAGGAAATCCACAGCTGCTTCACATTGAAGTTCTGCAACCGGCAATGACTGTGAAGCCTTTCCTTTTAGCAGCATGGGACACACAGCATAAGGACTGAAGACTTGTGGGGATGTAGTAAACTTTTTTGGGAAAAAAAAAAAAAAAAGAGTTCTCAAAACAATTCTTAGGAAAAGTCCCTGCCTCCCGTATCAAATTTGTCCTGTGCTGGTACCTTGTTTTCATGGCTACTGCCAGCACAGTAGCTGGGTGTGCTGGTGTAACATCTGCTAGCTTTTATTTGGTTTTGAAAGCTCTTCAGCTTTTTCTCTCCCACAAGTCTCATGTTAATGTGTCTTATATTCATGGCATGGATTACTGTGAGACTTCTGAAAGGTTGATTGAAAATGGGAAATTGCAGAGGCAGCTCCTCTTAGTGATACACTATCTTACACATCAAAAGAGCACAGATGAGAACATGAGAGATTGTAAAAACCCTCAGCTGGGAGGAGTTAGATAAACACTCACCAATGACCTGCCTGTTAAACCTTTTCCAGCATGTGTGAGTCTGAGAGATAAAGGGAGCTATAAAGGGGGAAGCAGCTGGCAGGGAACCAGACCAAACTGACCACAGCTCCCAGAAGGTTGTGGCCCAGGTTTGAAGAGGTGCATTCCCAAGGAATCAGTATGGAGCCTGAGGAGTACAGACAGAGAGGTGAGTGATCCGTGGCTCTTGCAAATAGTTAACATTTGCTCGTGGAGATCAACTGCTGTAGGGCTGTGAGTGATACCCAAAATTAGGATGGGCTATATACTCTTTAAATGTGCACTCGGCCTTGAGACTTGGATCTCCTGAGGCAAAAATGTGTCCCAGGGTTGAGTTTAAATTGATGGATTTACTGTCTGGGTAACTTAGCCTTTTTGGTCTTACCTCTAAGATACTGTGGGAAAGCCGCAAAATAGTAATTCTGAATAAACTTGTGCTAAGGGGCTATGCACAATAGGTTTTCACTGGCTTCACACCCTGAGGCTGCAGTGGTACTTGGGCAGTTCTGGAGATGGAGAGCCAACTTTGGAACAGGGCTGCAGGAGATTGCCTTAAAAAGTGGAGAAAGGGTGTAGAGCTATGCAGCTGATTTCAGAGGATGCAAAAGTGGGTTTGCTATAATGACAAGGAAGTGTAGGACATGAAAATTTAATTCCTGTGAAATACAGTTTCAGTTAATTTGTAGGCAAGAAAATCTAATCTTTCAGTAACCAAACAAACTACTTGTACCATGATTGGGTTTTAAAGGTACATTTGAACTATTTGATGATGGCACCGAAAAAGCCCTGTGAGCCTGTTTTAGAACATTATTAGATGGGACAAGTAGGGTGTTGGAGGCAGGAGCTGGGAGCAGTATTCCAATGCTGTTGGAATCTCTGTCCAATGCTAAGGACAGATTGTGTGGAGTGTTAGTTAGTGTTTCCCTCACTGAAACTGAAACTACTGGTTTGCCTCTTCCAGGGAAAGAGATGGTGGATTACATTTGCCAGTACCTGAGCAATGTGAGAGAGAGACGGGTGACTCCTGATGTACAGCCAGGTTACATGAGAGCCCAGCTGCCAGACTCTGCCCCAATGGACCCTGACAGCTGGGACAACATCTTTGGAGATATAGAGAAGATTATTATGCCAGGGGTAAGAAATAAAGTATAATCATGACAGGAATAAGCTATTACTACCTGGGGTGAACACCAAGTCCTGGGAAGGCACAGATTCTGCAGAACATTGTTCTAGATAAGTAAAGTATCCAAAAATGTAGCATGAATCTTGTAGATGTTATGTCTATAGTTGTGTTCCTAACTCTAATTTTAGGGGTTAGATTGTGAATGTATTTTTTAACTACTTTGTATATAACTCATATTTGCTTATAGGGAAACAAATTCAGCAGTATGAGAAAATCATAAGCTTCACAATGTCTCTACCTGCTGAACCATATAATCTTAATTCCAGAGATGTGGAAACTGGGCTCAGCAAGGTGAAACAACTCTTGCCCGACTTCATGTACATACAAGGCTTGTCTCCTGTGCTTTGAATGTAAAATTCTACTTCCTCTTGTACATGCATACTGCAGATTCTGCTAAGGGAATTCATATTGCCAAATTGCATGTTTTATGTAAGAAGATTTTTCAAAGCCTGTTGTCAAATTTTTTTGTATATGTTTGCAGAAACTTGATCTGATGTAGGAGAGGCAATCAGATTACATGTACTTATGCTGGTGTCCCACACACAAGCTCATTCAAGTGTATAGAAGGGTTTGTATAGTTGTAAAGCAATGTGTGTAGCTAAAGGCAACTTGTTGTTTGACAGGATGAGCAACTTTGTTGCAAGGATTACCTTTATAAAGATAAATATTTTGATAAATCTTTCTGACTCTGGTCTTTCAAACATGGCACAACATTCTTTCCTGTTCAGAATCTTTGTCTGCCTGTTTAATTCAGATAAATGCTTTTGCTGTTATTTGCAATTTATCTGTTAATAATGCAGTGTTATCATCTGCTAGTGCTGCTCCCCTGTTGATATTATCTGTGCAGCTCTCTGCTAGCAGATATAAGTTGCATGTTTATGTTACTGTAATCATTTTCTCTCACTTTAAACAGATAGTTACCACTACATCTCATGCACTATGAGATCTCATGCAATGATGAGATAGTAACCATTACATCTCATGCAAATTTTGTGACATTTTCAAACTGAACGTCTACATAATTTTGTTCTAGGTAGTCCATTGGCAAAGTCCACACATGCATGCCTACTTTCCAGCTCTAACTTCCTGGCCTTCACTCCTTGGAGATATGTTGGCTGACGCAATTAACTGCTTGGGATTCACATGGGTAAATTTTCTGGGGCTATTTTAGACATTCCTCTCCTGTGTGTAATATGCAAGAGCAGGTTCTAGTAATTCTTTCTTGTTCTTTCAGTATAATTATTTGTTTTAACCAACTGTATGTTGTTGCATAAATGAAAATTGTCACTTAAAAACCCCCAAAAGAACATATAAGAACAAGCATTACCTAGTAGTAAGAGGTGAATGAAAAAAAATATGCTAGAAATGTCTGTTTTCAAATTCTTTGCATATCCCACTGAGCATTGTTCCTTGTCATCTAGTCTCAGTGCCAAGACTCTTACACAAGCAGTGTAAGCAATAGAGCAGCTACCATCCATGACTGCAGGCTAGATTGGGCTCCATTCCAGTTCTCCTGCTCCTTTGAGAGAACACACTTCCTATTTTTCCTCTTCTGAAAATAATTGTTCGGTATCCTGGGCCAGAATATCTACGTATTTTGTATCTTCCTGCAGCAGCTACAGAGCACTACGTGCTTATGACTCTGCACACCACAGTAGTTCCTAAAGCCAGTGTTTTCCCCAGTGCCAAAGTTGCCCAGATTTTTAGATGTGTGTCTCTGTGTAAGAAAGTAGAAGCTCATAAACCTCTAAGAAATTGGTTGGTGCGGTCTCCATGTAGCTGTATGAGATTAGCTTGTTGCTTCTCTTAGCTCTCAGTTGGACAAGGGATCAGTGCCCAAGGTGAATTACAGCCTGATTCTCCTGTTTAAATTTTTTCTAGGCCTCCAGCCCAGCCTGTACAGAACTGGAAATGAATGTGATGGATTGGTTGGCTAAAATGCTGGGCCTTCCAGATAAATTTCTGCACCACCATCCTGATAGTGTGGGTGGAGGAGTATTACAGGTAGGGGAGATTAGAGATGGCCTTATCAACATTTGTTTTCAAGTGAATTTATCTCTGGGTGATAGTTTTCCTAGGGACAAAACCAACAAAATTTTCTATATGGCTCTGAATCCAAATTTGGCATTATTTTCCCAAATTTTAGTATTAAAAGTGGTAGATTATAGAATAGAAACTGCTATTGCTTTTAGTGCTCTGTTATGGACAAACAGCAGGTATTCTTGTGGTCTTTTTTTAAGGATAAATGAGTCAGATTTCATTTCTTTAATCTGTTTCACATCACCAAATTTTGCACTAAAGTGATTCTTACAAAATTAGAGAAGGAATCCTTATCACCATCCTTCTGCCACAGTCCTTAGCCACACAAGAAGGTATTTTTCTTTTTTCTCCTGTCTACTTTTTGTCTCTGAGAGGTGCAAGATCAAGGCCTGAACTGTTACCTCCTTCCAGAAGGGGTAAGCGAGAGTTCCCTGGAATCAGTGCTTCATCTTTGTTATTATAAGGGGCTTTGATCATGTTTGTAATTTTATGGGAAATACTATGTTTTATTTGTAGAACAAAAGGAAAACGTGGTTTATTTACTCCCCAGAACTCAGTGCTGCACGTTAAAATATACAGCAGTTAAAAGGCTTTGTTTTGTGTTGCTGGCCCAGAGAACTGCTCATCAGCTAATGACTCTCCACTGCGTCAGAGAAAAGCAGGAGTAGGAATAACAGAGGGGGTGGGCAGCTGGGCACTTCACTGATTTCAGCAGATCCCTGGCAAAATAACAATGAAGTAGCAGTTGCAGTAAATGAGCAATGTCTTTGCAGAGCACTGTGAGTGAATCAACCTTGGTTGCACTGCTGGCAGCAAGGAAGAACAAAATTCTGGAGATGCAGGTTTCTGAGCCAGACACTGATGAGTCCTCGCTCAATTCTCGCCTCGTCGCTTATGCATCTGATCAAGTAGGTTCTTATGACTCCAAGGAAGACAAATTGCTTCTGTTGTCTCACTCAGCCTTTGCCATGTGAAGTCACATTTCTGTACAACACCATGAGAGTTCCTCAGAAGTGTGGACCAGCTCCCCTAGTGCTGCTTTCTGCAGATGGGGAAGCTGAATCAGTGTGAGGTGAGGTTTTCAGGGTCCTGGCAGTCCTCAAGAGATTGTTTCACATGACTGATTTCTGCACTTCCTTCCTCTTTTTCACAAAGCCTTACTCCAGGAGCTGTGTGCTGAGCTCATGCTGTTTCTTCCCAGCCTCCTTCCCCTCAGAGACAGGCATGCTCAAGGCACTGTTACCTAAGTGCTGCTCCTGGCTGTGGGCTCCACTGTTGGCTTTTGCCAGCAAACTTGTTCTGTCCTTGGCCTCCTGAACCGAGCAGTTATGGTCCCCTGGGGAAACTACCACAGGAGAGACACTCATGCTCAGTCTCTCTTAGTATAACTAAAAGGACTGTATCTTGTAAGGTGTTTTGCTCTATCCAGAAGTAAACACACTTCAGGGGATTTATCTTCTTATGGCAGGGAGGAAGGAATAAATTGAGGTTGATTCATTTCTAGAGGCTCTTTGAGAGCTGAGTTATGATAAATGGCCTTCCAAACACAAGATGAGGATGGCTATTATTATATTTTAGAAACCAGTACCCAAGTAAATGAAACATTCTTTGGAACTACACTGTACAATTTCTTACAGTTACTCACAAAGAAGATGCTTTCAGACTTGTATTAATAGGGATTACAATAAGGTCGTTATCTCTGTATTTCTTGCCACCACTGTCTTTCATAAAGCCATAATTTACCACAGCTGTTCGGCCTCAGAGCTTGAGTTCTTACTGTTTTTCTTATTTTAAAGGCACATTCCTCTGTAGAAAAGGCTGGCTTGATTTCTCTTGTGAAGATAAAATTTCTGCCTGTGGATGAGAACTTTTCCCTCAGAGGTGAAACTTTGAAGAAAGCCATTGCAGAAGACAGAAAAAAAGGCCTAGTGCCAGTCTTTGTATGTTCAATTTCTGGCTGGGGGTATTGACATAGTGTTATATTCTTAATGTCAACATGAAATTACATATTAAAAATTTCCTGTTGTGTTAAAATACATTAGCTAAAGATTCAAATGTGTACAAGAATTTCTATTTTATTAAACAAAAAGTTTTAATGTTTTGACTGCCTGCAATAAGCTGCCCACATTTAAAGTGTTACATCCATGTATTAAAAGAAACCAAATCCATTATAGCAGATTTGTTTTTTTCTAGGTTTGTGCAACTTTGGGTACAACTGGTGTCTGTGCTTTTGACAATCTCTCAGAACTGGGTCCAGTTTGTAAGTGTTCTGGTTTGTTGTTTTTTTTTTTTTTTCCCTGAGTTTGATCTATGAAAGTATTTAGAAGATAGTCTTAGACTTTTTATACCAAAATGAAGGAGAGCTGAGTTTTTCAGACATGTCTCAGGAATGACTGAAGTCAGTACAAGACTCCAGTGATTTCTGTAAGATTTAGATTAGGATGCTGAAATACATTCTATTTGAGATGGATGGAATTTGCCAACTTGATAAATCTTTAATGTGGTTATTCAGGAAATACAGACTGTGTGGTATTGTTGTAGGATGGACACATTAATATTTAATCTAGCAAAGGAGTTCTGAAGGTAGATTCTGGTAGGACATCCTGTGGCTCAATCAATATCATATGTAAGTTTGACATGGTTGCAAATTCTATTCCAGCATAAATTTGGACCAGTAGCTGCTGAAGATCTGAGGATCTTTCTTTTATGGGTCAGATTGTGGCTTCTATTTTTTGGCCTTTTTTTTGCTTGCCACTATGTCTTTATTTTGGCTTTGTGCAACTGAGGGGTACTGGGGAATTTCACTTAGTGAAAGAGCAAGTGAGAGAAATCAAATGTTAAAAAGACTCACTCACATAAAATATAGAATAGTGAATTTTATTACAGAGTCTGCCTGGTTTCAGCATTATCCTATAGTTGGACAGTATGGATCCACACCTTTAGAATAAAACTAGGTTGTCAATTGCTTGTCTGTCTCCTCCAAAACACTGCACCTGGTTTGCAGAGAGGAGAGATTGGCATGCACTTCGATTCCCTATATCCCTTACATAGCAACAATCTCAATTCCAACAGGTGATGCTGAGGGACTCTGGCTTCATATTGATGCTGCATATGCAGGAACAGCATTTGTATGTCCTGAATTTCGATTGTTTTTGGATGGAATTGAATATGCAGATTCCTTTACTTTTAATCCTTCTAAGTGGATGATGGTCCATTTTGACTGCACTGGATTTTGGTGAGTATTGTCTAAACACAAACACCAAAAGGACAACATGTAAATGGCAAAGTTTTTCTCTGCATTTACTTTACTAAATCTAGTTCCTTCTACAACCCATAGGGTTAAAGATAAATACAAGCTGCATCAAACCTTCAGTGTTAACCCTGTCTACCTCAGACATGCCAATTCAGGAGCTGCAATTGACTTCATGGTAAGTTATTATTTAATTTGATATTTTATATTGCCTATAAAATTTTCAATCAGACTGTGAAATTTTTCTCACATTCTGGAGTATGCTTATCTTATAGCTGGTCTTACTATGTAAACCAAATTGTACTGAGTTCCTAATGCAGAGAAAATAGCAAAACTTTGCAGTAAGCCCTGGTTATGAAGACTAATTCTACAATTGCTTTCAGGTTGAAATACTTAAGATTTTTACACAGATGCAGATCCAGCCTTGCCTTTCTAATGCAAAGGGTCATTTCTGTGTATTGTGTTGCTGTAGTAATTCCTACTGATGCCATTTTGGTTGGATTTCTTGTATCTCTGATATGTAATAAAAGAGAGAAAGGAGTAAACAATGGAAAAGCCATGCACTGAAGCAGTAGGAGAATGAATTACATATTTTCTTCAGATTAAGGTATTCACAGGAGAGCTAAGAGACATTTCACTGCAGATACATCTTACAGCAGATTTCAGTACAGGAATACAAAGGAATACTCACTGCCAATTATTTCTGCTATGATCTCACCCTAGTCCTGAAAAGATAATTGTTTTCTTGAAATCAATAGTGCTTTTCACTAGTGGAGAGATGCAGGGATGGAAAAAAGGATATTGAGTCCCTCTTGTGGTTAAATTGGATCCTGCACGTGATTGTGCAGCTTCCCTGAAATACTCCTTTATATGTTTCATCACTCTTTTCCTCGGAGTAGGTGTTGCTTTGTCTGGAACTGTCTAGCCCAATATCAAATCTTGCTATTTATAATTGGTTTGGGAACATGTTCAGGAAATTACAGGAGCTGAAGCGAGCACTAGTCAGTCCTAAAGTGTAAATGGCCACATATTAAATTGATTATGCTCTTTAATGCAAAAAGTTGTTGTTATAAGCTGGTAATTAATTTAAAATTCCAAGCATATCTAAGCCATAAATTAAGGGGAATAGCCAATACCTTATCTTTTGCAAATAATTGAAAAAATGGGGACACAGTGTTTCTTTGATGGGGGTTTCCTAGGCTGTTCAGATTTTCAGTAATATGATACTATTCATCTCAAGAGAGGTTTCTGACCTGAGTCTGAAGCAAGAGGTGTAGCAGTGCAAGGGGAACTCTCCTTTCTGTTGTTTCTGCACTCACTGATGCACAGCTCTGTTCTCACAGCACTGGCAGATTCCACTGAGCCGTCGATTTCGTTCTTTGAAGCTGTGGTTCGTGCTTCGTTCATTTGGGGTGAAAAAGCTTCAAGCTCATGTCCGACAGGTGTGTGAATTACCAGTGTGTTGTGTTCAGTTCTTGGTAGGTGAAATTAGTGCACTCAGAGATGCAGAGACGAGTAACAGAAATCCTCTCACGCGCAAAGCTTGCATGTGAATTCTAAACGCGTGCTGGTTTTACTCTAAAATAATCTGTAAAGATTGACTGTGTGTAGATAAAACATTTCCTGTCCCCTTCTTGACAGCACTGGACAATGGAAAGGGACTTGGTCACTGCCTTCTGCACTTTACTGAGCCCGAATCTGGAGAAGCTTTCTTTGAGGTCAAGTGGCAGCTGTTTGGGAGGCAGGCTGTGATGAATAACTGAGCCACCATGTGAAAATGTACAGGCTTAAGACTGTGAGGAGTGTAAATACGAGGGGTCACGTTGTCGATCAATGGTTGCTGCAAAAGGACTCTAATATGAGAAGGCACATTCTGTTTTCAAACCTCCTATAGAAAATCCCTATGTATAGGCCAGTTATTCATGTTCATTGTCAAGGGTTTGGGCAAATAGAGACAGACTTTAAAATTCTTAGCTTTGATGTCGTCTTTCTGTTTGCTTTTATTAATGCCTTGAAGTGACGTGTTTTAGTAAGGAAAGGAATTCCTTTTAACTACCCAGTTTAGCATCTTACAAGTGGGCTTGTGACAAACAGATAGATGACTTTTTTTCCCCCTTAATTGTAGGGTACCGAAACAGCCAAATTCTTTGAATCCTTGGTTAAAAGTGACCCACTCTTTGAAATTCCTGCCAAGAGACATCTTGGGCTGGTTGTATTTCGCCTAAAGGTAAAGATTGGCCCTTTTGCACATCCCTTTGGCATGAACTGACCACAGCTGATCTCTCCCCAGACATTAATAACTGTGAATATATTTCCATTTAAGAATTTGTGATTGCCATTCTTAGATATGTTTGGATGTCACTAGAAGGTCTAACTATAGTATTTTTTTATTATTCATATTTGAAACAGGGTCCCAATTGGCTGACAGAAAAACTCCTGAAAGAACTAAGCAGTTCTGGCAGGCTCTTCCTCATTCCAGCAACCATCCATGACAAGTTCATCATCCGCTTTACCGTGACATCTCAGTTCACAACCAGGGAAGATATTCTGCAGGACTGGAGCATCATTCAACACACTGCAGCCCAAATCATTAGCCAGAATTATGGGTTTCACTACATCAATTCTGGTGGTGGGGCAGGAATCCCCACTACAGTAGTTCAGCCTACTTCTGATGCTATTAGCAATGTTCCTCAGCTTTACTTAGATGGAGGGAAATACAAAACACCTTCTAGGAAAACAGTAGTACAGCCTAAGAAATTATCAGTAAGTCCCAGTCAGTGTGTGATTAGTCAGCAGGTGAAAGGTCAAGAGGATCCTCTGGATGACTGTTTTCCAGAAGATGTCCAAAATGTTACCAAACATAAGTTAACTTCTTTTTTATTCAGTTATTTATCTGTTCAAGGCAAGAAAAAGACAGGACGTTCCCTTAGCTGCACCAGTGTGCCAATGACTGGTAATGTGGAGCAATGTAACCCCAAAGCAGCAGCCACTGACAAGAAGGAGTCTCGTGCAAATGCCAGAGTTCTTTCCAGGCTGCCTGAAGACATGATGATGTTCAAAAAAGGCGCCTTTAAAAAACTAATTAAATTCTACAGTGTCCCAAGCTTTCCAGAGTGTAGCATTCAGTGTGGCCTTCAGCTGCCTTGTTGTCCTCTGCAGGCCATTGTTTAACAAGTAAGAGAGCTTGGTCCTTAGAAAGAGAACCAAAGTTTGCTTATTCACATGCAATACTACATGTTCTTTTGTTCAAAATGTAAGCCGTGGCAATGACCACTGAGAAAATGCCTGTGCTTTTACTGGTGAAAACCTCATGTATTTATAGATTAAAGTGTCAAATAAATCTTGTAGGCCTATAACATGAAACCTTCTGTTTTGTAGACTGTGCCAATTTCTACCTTACCAGTCCTGGTAATCCAGCTGGAAACCACTTTAGGCTGGAAGCACTTTGATAAAATATGTTGGCCCCAGGAAGTGATAAACAATCCAGGTCTCTATTTGCACCACTGTTTTTTGTTGTGGGTTTAAAAAAATTTTTTCTTTTTTTAATATTTTTTTTTTTTTTTGGAGGGGGGGTGGTGTTGATACCTTGATTTAAACTCTCTAGACTGATGTGAGGATCTGTGTGTGCAGACAATGCCAACATCAGTTTTGAACTGTGCAGAAAGAAGGATGTAACCTCTCTAAGAGATTTTGCTGCAGGAGGGCAGTTTTCCCAGAGTTAATCACACCAGCCCTGCCAGCCCACCTGTTCTAATCAGCTGAGGGAGGCTTTGTGCAACCGTGTTGCAAAACAGTTGCCCTTGCAAAGCACCTGTGGCTTTTCTCAGTATTACCTAAGGTCTGTACATCACAAATGCATGAGGAAAGAGAGTAGGAATGATATTTCCCTCTCTCTCATAACAGAGAACTAAAGGGTCTCTATACAGCAAACAAATGTTTTGCTACAAGAGACCAGTGATTTATGTATATAAAAAATTGGGGAGGGAGAAAAATCTATTAAGGACAAATTTAAATTTCGGAATAGTACAGCTGAGTCAGGAAACATGGTGACTGATGGACTTTATTCTGGGAAAGCACTGCTAGATGCTCACTGCTTTCCTTGTAGTTGTTTCCAGACACCTACAGTCACCCTGTCTTGAAGGCAGTGCACTCAGACAGATGGATCTTCTCTCTGATCCAGACCTACTCCCAGGTTATATAAACAATGAGCCTGGTTAATGTCTAGGCCCTTACACAAAATCAGCTAAGCTCATCAGCTAAGATATGGGTGGAGTTGGAGTAGTTCTGCTTCATTAAGACAATCTCATATTCACACTTTATTTTTGCTAAAAAATCAATAACCATGTTTCATATTACTTTTAATAGTGCTATTAAATCTTTCTGTTTACACAATAAAGCAATAAACACACAGTGATGATGGCAGTCCCCTTGTGCCTAGTCTTAGATGTTTAAATTTATATTCAGCAATAGGAAGTGCCCTGAGTTGGACACTTGTAATTTATAAACATATTTAATGTGCTAGTGAGTAACAAAAGTGTGATAAAATTTTAGAAAATTATGGAAAGGCTTTTTCCCTACTTCCTGTCCATTCTTCCACCTGTTTCTTTTATTATGTAATTTAATAGTATTTTATTAGACACTAAGAATATTTTAAAATATATTATGGCTTTTTAACTTGGAATACTTCCTTGAAAGGATAAGACCTTTCTGTCAGCAACAGACTAGTGTATTTATGCAGAATAAGTATGTTGGCTCTATGTCTTTCAGGAAATACAGGGCAGAGGGCACTGCAGTAGATGGTAAGAAGTCAAAGATGAGCATAGAATGCTGGAATTGCAAAACACTGTTTCAAGGAGTGATTCAAGAAAGAAATCTGAACCATTGAGCAAAGATAAATAATGTGCATAAATTGCAAGGTGATTGTGGACCTGGTTCTCTGTCCTGGCTTATGGTTATCATAAGGTGCTACAACGACTGATTGATCCCTTTTTTCTTACTAAATTCTAGCTGCAGTTCTACTACTGTGACATTCATTTTAGGCAAAAATATTTTTGGAATGAAGGAGGAACTGATCTAATTGCAGTGATCCAAACCATCTATGAAGCACCTATAAGTAGTTACCCCGTGCAGACAATAGCTTAAGTGCATCACTCTTTAACCACTCACATTAACACTTTTACCTGGGGATCACCTGGCTTGGGTTAGGATATTTTGGCTACATAACCCCCAAAACTCACACTACCCAAAACACAGGTCCATAGGTTTCTGGAGAACTCCTCCTTTTTGGTGTGCAGCTGAAGTGCTCACATAAGGTAAGTGTTTTCTCTATCCATTTTACCAGAATGTCAGTAATGGATTGCCATTACTCCCCTATGCAAAAGAATGATTAATTCAAGCCAAAAGCGCCTTTGTTTTCCTTGAAAAAAGTTAATGTTAGTCTGCAGTGAAATATTACAGACCTCATTAGGAAAGGTTTCTGTTGGGCTTCCGCCTTTCCCTTTAGGGTTAAATTTTCAGCAAAATGTAACAAATGTTCCCTGTTATTTAGTTAGCAAACAACAAGAAAAGTTGTTTACTGATGCCTGTGGCATACTGCATAGCTTATGCAAATACCTAATGACCTGGCACCCTAGAGGTAAATAACCCCCAATAAACTTTCACTGAGATAAATTGCCCTTCAATAGACTTTGAAATCCATATTTTATCATAGAGATAAGTTACTTTAATGACACAAGAACTGTATTATTGAATTCAGCATCATTATTTCCTTAGTTACTCAGACAGTCTTGAAGCAAATGCCAGGAATTTCACCCTTCTGACTGGACCTAGTGACCAGGGCTCAGTACTTCTTGGTTCTAAATAGCCATTACTGTGAATAAGGATGGCTTTTTCTTTCTTACTTTTAAAAAAATAATTATTTTTAGTTTTATATTTTGCTATGTGCCACTAAGGGGACAAATTTCTTCCCTCTTGCTCAGCCTTCTACTGCCCTTTTATGTCAAATCTGATACTTTCCAGGACAAGGTGAACGGATCCAGGTCATTGATCTGCCAGGAAACTTTTTCACTGCAGACTTTCTTTCTCTTTGCTGCCAGGGGAGCTGCCAGCCCTAATGCAGCACCAGCCCTGGGTGTCTGAGCAGGGTGGGCAGGAGCAGATCCCTGCACTGCAGCGGGGCTCACACCTCCCTGCAGCTGCAGCCTGAGCCCCTGGGCTGCCTCTCCTGCTCCCACCCTGCTCCCAGGGGCCTTGCAACACTGGGCACTGAGTGAGAGCTCTTCAGGGGTGAAAATTAGCTGGTTTATGTCCAGGAGAAATTTGGACTATCACTAGACATTAGCATGTGGGTAAATTAGAGGTGTTTTACTCTTCTCCTGTAACAGTTACAGTTTCAAACTGGTGCCACAGGAATTTTTTAGAAGTTGCTTCATAATTGTAAATACTACAGAACATTTTTAGAAGCTTGATATGTGATGGCATATCTCCTGCCTGGGAAAAGCAGGAGAAATTAGTAGACCCTGTTAGCTAGGGTCACAGACAGTATTTCCAAATTGTTGCTGAATTTCCATAACTAATTCCAGCTTCCTGCTCAGAGTGTGTAGCAGTTTTGTGCTGTGGTCCTTCAATGGACTTTCTGAAGAAGTTTTTCTCTGTAACCTTTTCTTCTTCAGTTACATCTCTGACTTTCTAACATGGGATGTGGCTTTAGTTCTGTAACTTCAGTAGGGAGGTGTAATCAGCAGCCTGGAGAACTGAAACCCTCAGGTTTATTGATTGTGAATGGAACATTTTGAAGGACCTTTGTCTGCCTTATTATTCAGGGCTAATTTGTTTTAAAACTTGTAAATCTTCACACAATAAATACTTGGTTTGCTCACCAGCTTTTATACAATATATTGTTTTTCTAAGCTATTCCTTGACATAAACATTTTCCATTGTTCTCCAGCTACATGTTTCTCACAAAGATTTTCAGCTCAAGGCTTTGCAGGTTTTGCCAAAAGACAGAGATATCTTGATGTGATCCACGAGATGTCACCAGAGGGCAACAAGTAACTGGAAGTTTGTTTTAAATTTGGATTCAGACTCAATGTACAGTTAATTAAGAGAAAAGTACTTAGAAAGAAAGCATGGGAAAGCCCAGCACTCCTCATGCTGGCTGACATAGGATGCTCCAGGCTGCAGCACTTTCTGTGCAGACAACCTCTTCTCCTTTTTCTGTTTTGTTATGGTGTAACAGGAGCCTTCACTGTTCAAATGAGAATACACCATTCCAGCCAGCTCAAGGGACAATAATCATACCCCAAAGCAACACTTACCTCATTACTGAGGAATGGCAGGGAGATGGGATCCAGACTGGATGGCTGGTGGCTTCAGTGAACCCTGTAAGAGGTCAGCTGGGTTTGTTCTTTCTTTGTTTGTTTCACCTGAGCATTCCCATGGAAAATCCCAGCTGGGTATTTTTCAGGATTGCTAAATTGGAGTCTTCAAGGTTCATTTTTCATTTTCAAATGTCCTTCTGTCACCTTTTAAATTAATGGCTACTACAGTATCTACTAAAGGTTTATTTGGAGGTTTACCACAGTTTTTTTTCTCTAAGGTTTCAATCAGATGAGACAGGTTGACCTGATCTAATTAATTGGTGCTGCCAAAAGGGGTCATTCTGTTTCCCTGTCCTTATGTGACCTTCTAGTTCCACTGCCTCCCTTGCTCCAGCTCTGATGCTCTTCTGACAGTTTAGTGATGGATTCAGCTCACTAAGCCAGCAAAAAAAAAATAAAAAAAGTATTTTTGGGGTGAGTACTCTGTTGAATCATTGAGTAGGACTGACTTATTGAGGAGTCATATTAGTACCAATACTAGGATTCATACAAAGGAAGGAATAAGGAAACAATAAACTTAATCTCCCTTCCCTACATGTCGACATCTCAAATTCTTCTTCTGTTCCCTTCCCACTTGGGAAGGAGTGTAAAGTATCTATCAACCAAAATAATTTTTATAAATGTAAGAACCAGGTTGGCAGTCTATGCAGAGATAAATCAATGAATCTACTCACAGCAGAGTTCAAGCCATTCCATTTCCCCCCTCCGTGCCTGGCAGAGGCTCAGGAGATGAAGGTCAGTACATACATGCTCTGGCACTACTGAAACTGTGCTTACACCAGCAGTTTATTGGTATTTTTCCATATCTTTCCCCACTTCTGAGGATGATGCTCACAAATCAGCATCAAGATTTCTAGTAGGTCAGGCGGGGGAGATGACTTGCTGGTCCAGTTGCAGCTGATTTGACATCACTGGAACACTTTGCAATCACCAACCTTGAAAAAAGTCCCCTTTAAAAGGAGTGAGCCACTCTTGTGACTAGAA